TGTCTCTCTCATATATATATATATTTATTTATTTATGGAGAGAGAGGGTATAAGCCCCAAATGCAAGTGTTTAACAGAAACCTTAATCTTGAAAGCCCGAAGGCCTGGACCCTTCAACCCTAGACCTTTATCTCGCTGGTCTCGTTTTCGGTTTCTTCGGAGGCTTGTCTGAGTCGAAAAGTCTATTGAGTATCCCATGTAGCCCCTGTAAAATTCCCAAAGCTCGTCTTGCTGGCCCGACTTCCTAAACCGAAGAACCGTCCAAGTCAGGGTTTCGGCGTTTCAGGAAAAAGGTAGGCGTCCGGCTTTATGGTTCAAACGATGCTAGTATGATTGGGAACTTCGAACTCGTGGTGGCCGTGTACTCAGTGTACTCAGGGTTTTCAGGTCTCGAGCGTAGATTTCTGTACTGCAACTGCTTTTGGAATTGTGGGCATAGGGGTTGCAGGGGTCCGACTCCTGGGTTCCTCCTCCGCATGCAATGAACCTACCTGTCAGTAGACCCCGCCGAGCGCGGAAGACCCTGAACCCGCAACTACAGCCAGGTTCACAAGCTCCGCTGCACCATCCTGGATGACACCTGGAGCATGAGCCCGTCGAATCTGACATCCTACCCAAACCGACTCTAAACGGCCCTAATTCCACGAATCTTCAACCGCAGGACGTCACATCTATCAGCCTTCACTCTGATATCGTCGTTCTGCACCCTCCACCGCCAAAGCAGCCGAGCCTCCCGCAGGCAGAGTTTCATGGCTTCAGGCTTCCGGGAATGCTCCTACACCCCCCGTCCCCGTGGTCTATCGTCTGCAGAAAAGAAGTTTTAGGAGTGAAGGGTTGACAGGATTTATCTACCCGAAACCTTGAGCCCCAGACCCAAAACTCTCGCAGTGGAGCTTGTAGAACCCAGTTTGAAGACACCTCTCCCCAACCCACCCTAGACCCCGAAACCCCAAGCCATCCTAAACCACCAAACCCAACACCCTAAAGCCCTGAGATGCTGTAACAACCTCGTAGCTCTTACACCTCCCCAACCCTAAACCCTAAGCCCTAAACCCCTCATCTTCAAAAGAAGCATCAAGCCAAGCTCCGCCTCAACAAACTCGAATTCCCTTAACCTTGCGGGCCAGGTCTGTGGGCTGGGGATTTAAGGTTAAGGATTTAGGGTTTAGGGATTAGGGATTGGGGTTTAGGGTTTTGTGTTTAGGGATTGGGGTTTGGGGTTTAGGGATTAGGGATTGGGGTTTAGGGTTTAGGGATTAGGGATTGATCGTAGTACCTTTCGGTAGGGATTGGGGTTCAGCATTTAGGGGTTATATAGGGTGTCTGGGTTTAGGGCTTGGGGGGTTTGGGCCAAAAGCGCAAACGAACGACTTGGCCGCCGTGCTCGGTTTAGAGATATTGCTCCTTAGATAGTCAATGAGTCAAAGTCTCTATTGATACAGGCCTCTTAAGTAGGTTTGCAGCATTGTCATCTTCCTTTTTCTTCGGGGAAGCCCTTGACCATATCTTCAGTTGAGGCTTTCTTTATGGCTTCCCTCTTGCCGGCGGGCCGTTTAAGTGCTCGCAAGGCTCGCGAGGGGAGCGGCCGCAAAAAAGCGGTTTAGGGTTCAGAGTTGTGTTCGGGGGTTTACTTAAAGTTTTCGCGCTGGAGTTTTGGGGGAGTGCAGGAGTGTAGGAGCTCAAGCCGGGTTAGGTTTGGGGCCTTGAAATCCGGGGCGAGGTGGGTAAGGAGGACCCCTAGGCCCTAGGCTGGGGGGTAAGTTTGGGAGTTGTCGTTTGACATTTACCCGGACCGACCCTGAAGTACCCCTTAAAGGTCTCTGATCTTCGTCACGACAAGAGGTACATCATGAATATGAAGATCGGGGCAACGATAAAGGGTGGGTTTTCAGTTTTGTGTGGTGTTGAGGGGCTTGCAGGGTGTGGGATGAAAAGCTTTAGTGTCATCTGGTTCGAGACTTGCAAAGTAAATTCAAGCATGAGCAGATAGGGGCTACACTACGTGTTCGGACCTCTGCATTAGGGCTTGAGGGGCTTATCGGCTTCTAGAAGCGTCATGGCTAGAGCCCAGGTTTAACTAAGCCAAAGTCTTAAGAAGGGATGTGGAAAGAAGAGGCCTCCGAGAACTGCCTCGCAAGCCCGAAGCACGGAAATCCAAATCCTGAAGCCTCTGAAAACTCCGAACTGCCAAACTCCGCGCCTTCCCTACTAGAGGGGCCTCAATAATGACCTATACGATTTTGGGGGGCTCCTTATTATCATTCTATTACGAAGGAGCCCAAAACCCTATTCTAATCAATCAGGACGCTACATTAAACAAGAAAGCCGTTTTCTCACATGGAACCTTGGGGCTTTTAGGGTGGAGAAAGCTCACGCTGCAGGGCCCAGCAAGATTCAGGAATCGAATCTGAAAGCGTGCATCTGCTCTAGGGTTTAGGACTGAGGGTTTAGGAGTTGAAGTTTAGGGCTTAGCGTCTCGGGTGTGGGGTTCCCGTCTACACGACGCTAGATCAAACTCCGGCACTTTGTAAGGGCAGCCCGGTGAGAATGCAGCGATACGGAACCTCAAAGGAAGTAAAGGAAGAGTATTGGCACAGCCGGATGCACTGGGGATCTGCCTGCACTTGCTGCCCCCGTACCATTAAATCACAGGCAATTGCCAGTCGCAGCTGGGCCTCGCATGTTTAGCTCCCAAGCCTCGCACCCCTATACAGTAGTAATATATTTGACGCAACAGAACTCAATCCCGAAGCCTCAGAGACGAGGCCACGGTGGAAAGCTGACTCATTTCGCCCATCCGTCGACGTACTATGCCTTGGACTTCGACTGTCCAGTCCTGCTCTTACCCGGTTGTCTTTACGAACTATCGTGCTAGGTAGGCAGGCAGGCAGGCAGGCAGGTAGATAGGTAGGTATGCATGTATGCATGTATGCATGTGTGCATGTGTACGTGTGTGCATGTGTACGTGTGTGCATGTATGCATAAATAAATAAGTATGTACATATATATATATATATGTATCTGTTTATTTATTTATTTATTTATTTATTTATTTATATATATATATATATATCTATTTATCTATGTATATGTATATATGTATATATGTATATATGTATATATGTATAAATGTATATATGTATATATGTATATGTGTATATGTAAATATCTATACACATGAGTGTATATATGTATGTATGTATGTATGTATGTATGTATGTATGTATGTATGTATGTATGGAAGGATGGAGGGAGATATGTGTATATACACGCAGTTATACTAAAGCTCGCATGCATTCATGTTTGCGTGTATGCATGCATGTGACACTACCGCTAAGAGCCTCCAACAAGCGAAGGCCCCGGGTTCCAATTCCCCAGAGTACATGGTCTTCAACCCCATGAGCTCGGCTGAAGCAGCTACAGCAGAAATAGTAGTTTTTAACAAGGAATAAAAAGTCGAATACAGAATTATCAAGACAAGCAATAACTAGAATGAGGATTGACACTAATAAGGCATAGTCAGAACTTGGCTGAAGCGCTGCTAATCATGGCAAGGTGCTAGCCCACAACTTTTTTAGAGCGTGCAATGCAGCCGACACCATAATTCTCCAACGCTGAAAGCCTCAATTTTCTCCTAAGCCTTGATCCCCAAACCCAAAATGCCTTGCCCTAAATCCTCTCTCTTGCCTAGAACCCTTAAACTTATAGTCGCTCTCATAGCAATCCTTGTCGTAAACCCCCATGGTAACTCTCAGAGTAACTCTGGTAACCCCCTTCTTCAGCCTCGAGACAAAGCCTGAAAGGCGGACCCCAAAGCCTGACCTCCCCTAAACTCCCCTAAACTCCCCTAAACTCCCGTAAACTCCCCTAAACCCTAAACCACGAATCCCTCACATCCCTGTGCCCTCAAGCTCTAAACCCTAAACCCCTAAACCTTAAGATCCCTGAAGCCTTAAAGATCGAAACCTAAACCCTGAACCCTAAACCCCAAACCCTAAACCTGAAGCCCTAAGGTGGGAACTCCAGTTCTGGCCATGGCAGAGGGCACCATCTCTGAAATCCGCGATGCAGAAACCGCGTCAGGTCTGCCCAGGGTTCAGGGTCTGGGGTGTAGGATTTAGGGCTTTTAAAGTGGGGTTACCACAAGGCGGCTTACTAGAGGGATTAGTATCGGGGACAGCAGTGGAGGGGCTGAGGCTTCCAGGTGTCGCACTGTGATACACATTGGCTTGTGGGTTCGGGTTTTCAATCTACAAGCGGTTGAACTGGAGGGTGTTGGGGTGTAAGGATAGGGATATACCTGTAGCGTTTAGAGCTGGCATGGTTTTGAGGGATCGGCTCAGCTCTCGTTCTGGGCTTGCTAGGTCTGGTAGAGTTTGGGGTTCGGGTTTTGGGACTTGCACCAGTCGTGGGGTCTGGGTGCAATTTTGATTTTGCAGTTCCAGCCGCAAGGGGTCTGGAAAGAAGCCTCATAAACACTAAGCCCAAACCCTAAACCCACAAGCGGCCCCCAAAGAAGCCTTAGTTTGGTCGGTTGAGGGGCCGGGAGAAAGAGCTCGGCAGCTGACGCAACTAGCTGATGCCCAGGACCTCTCTGCGGTTCTTGTTAGGGAAGTTACCTTAAGCTACCATAGTAAGGATCTATCGTAAATCGCATGGTCTCCTTATTATGGTAACTTAAACCCTACTCCTTAACCAGAAGCCAGTCAGTCCTGGAGAGTACCCGAGTCCTAAACCCAAACCATAAACCCCTAAGCCCCTGGACCCTAAACCGATTGCGACCTTTAAACAGTTGTTGGTGGCTTTCGCACCAGGTCCCTGGTGTTAACCTGCTGTTTCAGGGGCGGGCTGGGCGGGCCGGGGCAAGACGTTCTGCCAACCGGAGCAAGCACCCAAAAAATAGCTGCAGTGCTGAAGCCTTGATGTATTGCATGTACTGTCTCTGTTGCATGCTCCACATGTACAGTATGTGTTCCATGTATTCTCCGCCTGGTGCATGTCCTGTGTCTGTAGTATGTGCCTAAAATGCCATATGAGTCTGTGATGTACTACATGTTGCATGTGCCTTCTATGTCTTGTCTGTCATGAATACCACAGAAATCCCAGATGTTACATACACATGAGCATATGGCAACGACCCGTACGTCGGTATCTACGATGCCCAAAACCTTAAGCCCCAGAGCTCCGTGCCTTGGCAGCAAGTTTTAGAACTTACAGTGCCTTAACTTCAGTTTTGGGTTCAGGTCGCTGCTAGTTTTTAGGGGGTTGCCAAAACCAACTTTTGCTAAGAAATTAGCTTGTCGCTGGGAAATATAGCAGTTCGTTCATCACGTGTCCACCAGGGTCCTGGTGGGCGCGTGACCTAGTTTAGAGCCCCGATCATCGACAAGCACTTGGCCAACTAGATGCTCATGGAGCGACCTCTGTGGCGAGATGTAGGGTGTAGGGTTTAGGGCTTATAGTGTTTAGTGTTTAGGGTTTAGGCTTCCATATACGGAGGCTTCGATGTTTAGCTGCAGCTGTAGGGCTTAAACTACAGTTTAGGGTTTACGCTTCTTGTTTGCCGGGTTTTAGAGTTATCGAGTTTAGCGTTTAAGGTTCAGGTTTTAGGCCGTCTTTCAGGTTACAACATTAACTGTATGATATACCAGATTGCAAAACCGTCGGAAAGACTGCTATTGTTAATGCCCCCGTTTCGTCCCTATCACTTATATATAACTTAAACGAGCATAATACCCCCCCCCCACCCCCTCCCCCCCCCAAGTTGTTATTATTGAGGCTCCTAGTGTTGGGAGACCTCGCAACTCGCTGCCCGGGTTGTCTGCAGGTGTTGACGTGCAAAATTTCTTCAGCTGGAATCAGATCACAATTGCACAGGCGGGAGCTTCCTGCGCTCGTGATTTAGAACTCTACCCGAAACTCTTCTTCCGCGAATCTCCCCCATCCTTGTGGTCATGCTTCGAACTCGTTCAAGGGAGCACTCCCACAAACGGTTGCTGCAGATGTTGAGCCGCGAAATCAGAGCAGTATTCTTGGCCAAAGCTCGTGCCATATTAGGATCATATGTCCAAAGCGATAGCTACATGTTCGACTGGGCTACATCACCTGCTGTTTTTGGTTTATCCCTTTCAGTAATGTTGCAGCTACTTCGGCACGGACAAGAACCCAATGCCAGACCCTGCTGTGGTACCACACGATTGGTTTCATAAAGGGATGCTCCAAACGGGAAGCCCCAAGCCCTCAACACGAACTAAACCTTGCTCCTTTGAAGCCCGGAAGCTTCAAACCTAATGCCGGAAAATCCTAATGCCCGAAACCCGAATGCCCCACAAACCCAATAGCTAAATCCTTAATCCTGCGCTGTTTCGGAGCCACTGTCATGTTCGCAGCTTCTCCCACAACGCGGGCAGAACAATGCTTAGAGTTTCAGGGATTGCCCTCTCAATCCCTAGCCCTCCCTAAACCCGAAACCTTAAACCAGAAGCCCCAAATCCAACTGAGCATTTTCGCAGAACCCTCCGGTTCCAATGTAGTTTGTCCGGTGCCTTTACCACGTTGCCATAAAGTTATCGTTTGGCCCCTTTGGTGTTCCTATTCTCATAGGGTGCTTGCAGGTTCTTGTAGTGCCTTGGACTAGGCGTTAGGGGGTTCGGGGTTCATATGAGGGCCCCGAAGACGAGAGGAGGGTGTTTCTAGATTTGCCTTCATCGTTTTATAAAGCTTCGTATGCGGGCCTTAGCCTTAGCAATACTTTGGTTTGGCTTTAGGTTTAGAGTTTGAGGTTGAGAGCTTCGGGTTAAGGGTTTAGGGTTGAGACTTTAGGATTAAGGGCTAAGGGTTAAGGGTTGAGATTTTAGGGGTCGCTTGTGGCTGTGAGGTAGACGGCACCTTCGCAGAGTACGTTCACATCAAGGCGGATTGAACACCAAGTTTCGGAGCCATACAACCCTGAACCCAACAATGCCGCCGAATATCCTGGACATCCAACTCCAGATCTCCCTCGAACTCCCTCAAAACTCCCTTACACCCCACGAAACAGGTCCTAGAGCTTCAACTGCCTTTCCAAGTTCCCGAAGCTCTGGAGCTAGCGGTTCTCATTGACTGGGGCTGTCTTTGCGGTAATATAGGCCTCAAGAACTACAAAAGGGTCGAAAGGGTTTTGGGGTATATGATCGTATCAGTATATAGCGCTTACACTACAAGGCGTTTTCATTCCTACTTCATTCGACCTAGTACTTGGATCGGATAGTTCACCAAAACTAGCCTTGCAGCGCATCCTCATTCATTTTCCTATCTGCTTGCTTTATGTAGGAAAGACGCTTACCTTCAGGGGTCTCGGGCTAAGGCCGTTTTCCCCGAGCTCCAAGAAACCCTAAACCCCAAACCCCAAACCTTCAACCGCAAACCCTAAACCTTGAACCCTGCAGACGCCCTGGAAAAGCCTAGAAGGAGGTCTTGAAAGGCCCAGGTTCTGGAAGTGCACGATTTGCAGGAGTTTCTCAGAACTTTGTGCATGCTTTGGGGTGGGTTTCGACCTCGAAATTTAGAAGCCCTAACCCAAGCCCTGCAGCCGACACCCGACTTACTGTAGGGGCTTTAATTAGAATAGGGTTTTGGGATTATTCTGGAGTTATTATAAGGAACCACCAGAATAATATTTCGTTATTATTTAGGCTTCTATATCAACTTTCGAGGTTTCTGCCGCAGGGAGCAGCATTCAGGATGGGCGTGCCAGGGAGTGCGGGAAGATGAACAAAAAGATGTCTACATGAATCCTGAACAGCCCAAAACATGCCCAAACCCTGTACCCCCAAAACTGTCCCAAGCCACAAGCTTTAGCCTCATCCAGGACCAAAGTAGCACTTCTACTATGCTCTAAGACAAGAAAGCCAACAAGGGGACTCAGGCGTGTGACTCAGCCCGAAGCCCTCACATGGTACACCTGTGTGAAAGGCGGCGACTCAGTCCCTGAAACCTGGAGACAGAGTTTGCCAAGGGCAGGTAGCGGTTGAGGGTTTAGGGTCAGGGTTTAGGGTTGAGGGTTTAGGGCAGGTGGCGGACAACTTCCGACTTTGTTGCAGTCAGGTTGCAAGTTTTGTTGGTGTCGAGGTTCTAAGGTTGGAGCTCATAGGGCGTTGTGGGGTCGATGAGAATTTAGGGTCTAGGGTTTATGGTAGACTGGGGCTTCGTTGGGCTTCTGCCTCAGTGCAGGATCTTCCTGTCGTGTTCGTTTACCGGGCTTCACCGGTTATGCGAGAGGGTCTCCAAACTCTAAACCCACGGCAGAAAGACAGGAGCAAGCATCGGATCCCGGCCAGATGGATCCTCACGGTTAAGTTTAGGGTTTAGGGTTTGGGTTGATCTCATTTTCTTTCGGCCTAAATACTCAACCCGAAGCAAATCAAATTGCTTCTCAACTTTAGAACCTCCACAGCGCCACGCCTCTGGGGAAAAGGCTCGAAGGCTGAGTGTTGGGGGTATAGCAAACCACAGATATACAGGGATGACAAGCGAATCCTAGTAGGGATTGCTCAACTGCTCACACTGGTTGGCAGGCTTACTAGGTTTGTCCTCCGTACTCCTAGTTAATCTGTCTTGAGTTCAAGCTGAGACTTCTACGTGAATGTTGTTGACGATCTTGTTGCAGCCCGTCCGCTTCCCAGAGCTCAAAGGGCAAACCAAGTAACGAACCTAAACCCTAAACCCTACCGGCCCCAAACCCGAACCCTCAAGCCCTAAGCATGTGAGCAGGCCATCGCTCAAAGTGGCGACGTCGGCTTCTGCCCAACGCCGCATTTGCACGTAGACACTTCCCGACATTTACGCTTCAGGGTTTGGGGCGTTCAGGACTACATTTGTGGGTAAAGCTACGTAGAGAGTAAGGCTGAGTAAGAGAACGTAGTCTTTGGTTGAGCCATCGAAAGGTATTTGTGCGACATTCCGGATGTCTTTGCGTTGGCACCAAGACTGGTTTCACGTCTGATTTTCATTTCGAGATTAACTTTTTGAAGCCCAAAAGCCAAAACCCCAAATACTCACAAGTAAACGGTAAACCCGCATGCCTCCAAATGTCTGACGTCCCCTTCAGCCCTAAACAACCTGCCACCGAAGTTAGACCACAAAATAGGTTCCCTGAGACCCGAAACATGCCTTGAAACCCTGATAGAACCCCGCAAACAATAGAAACGCACGACAGAACTCGATGAAACCCTGATAGATCCCCGATGTTGAAGACCTGAACCCTAAACTCCAAAATGCTAAAAGCTCAGGAGGTCCACCTTCGTGAAGGCCGCGACGCCGACTCGGTTCTCTTCGGTTTCCGTGGAACACAGGCCTTCGGGGTTTGAGAAGGATCTGGGGGTCTGAGGGCTGTTCGCGTTTCGGCTTGGAGGGGTGGGTTGGCATTTGGTGTTTCAGGGTTTAGGCGGATCTATGTTAGGGTTGAGGGTTTAGGGGCCTTATCAGGCCTTGGGCTTTTTCCTATTTAGGGGATTAAAGTTTCAGGTGTTCAGCAGGGCTTCTATGTGGGTCCACGTAGGGATTCCATCACTTTGGTTTTTGGCTTTGGGGAACTGATAAGGAACCTTGAACCCAAAGCCCTAAACCCTACACCCTGGGGCACTTTGGGGGTTTATTTCGGGATTTGGGGTCCCAGCTCAGGCCAGGTGTGAGGTGAGATTCTCAAAGTAAGCGGGGTCTTGGGGAGTCTTGGGTTGTTGTAATTCAGGTGCCTTAATAACTACCTCTACTATTTTGGAGGTTCCTTACTATAACTATTGTATAGCAAATCCTGAAATCCTAGTCTAATTATTATAGGCCCCTATATTAGGGCTGTAGGCGTGCACAAGACGAGTTTTCGCATTTGGTTTAGGTTCTAAGGTTTGTGGACTGCAAGATGTTTTGCGGATGCAAGGATGTTTCGCTTCCAGTCCTTTAGGTCTAGCGGCTGGGGTTTAAGATTTCGCCTTGCATCTTGTTGTGTCGAGCTTGCAGTCTTTGACCTTGAACCCTAAATCCTAAAACCCACACCCCTAAACCGCTCGTATCGCAGGTTCGTAAGCTATTCCCTCGAACGCTCTGAGCCCCGGAGCCGCGAAGCTACCACAACAAAAGTCACAGCAAAATCCATTCAGTGACTCTAAGCCCTAGCCCTTCCTGCTGTCTCGTCGTACTGGAGATGTTTAGTTTCAGTTTGTTCCTCGGGAGGTTTGACTGGAGAAGCAACGATAGCAACAGCCTTGCTCGGTAGTCGGACCACTCGCGGGGAACCCTGACATGATTAAAGCTGCTGGTCGGGTAGAGGTGTTCGGCTGTCGTCCAAGAGTCGCCTCACACCCCCTCCAAGCCTAAGTCCTGAGACTATCTTAGACTTTAATATAAGTGGCATGCTTCGAACTTGCGTTATGAACTTGAGTTATTTTATATGAGTATCATATGCGATAGATCCGTCGATTCCGAACTCGGCCAGGGCGCGTTCCACTGTGAAGAGGGCACGTGGTACGCTGCGGACGGCCCCGAGCCGGCTCAATCAGAAATGGACTTTCGGATGGGCAGTGGCTGCTGGCTGCTACAATAATCATTAACAGAATAATAATAGTAATGATAGTAACAATAGTAATCACAATCATACGCATAATCATCAAACTTTTCATTGCCTGAAGCCATGACTTCTCTTAGTGTGCTGTTGCTCGTTTACTTTGGACATTGCTCTCGTGCATTCGCTGCTTTCTATTGCGCACTGTTGCCAATCACTGCTCGTCTTGTATTGTTGCGGTTGTGTTCGTAGTATCGTATCTTCAGGGTGTAGCTATGCATATCAGTGGCAAGATGATTATCATCATAATTTCTTGTGCTGAGTCTTGGCAGCTAAATCTAACATGTTGATAGCAAGTGCTGTTGACTTTTTGACACTCGAAGTTCTGCCGATTTGACGTGAGCAGTGGGGATTTTGCATGAGAGCTGTTTTCCGTTCAGGGCAACGGCCGAAACACTTGAAATTCAGTAAATGCTTCTCCGCTAAGCCCTTCTCAAACCCGCTTAAAGCCCATGACAACGTTATGCAGCCACCCTTCAACTCGGGTAGGCTTGAGGGTTTGAGTTTTGGGCGGGAGGCGTGTTTAGGACAGGCTTGAAAGTCGGTGGTTTGAGCTTGGTGATGAGGGTTAGTCTGCATTTAGGCATTGTACCAGACCTTCAGAGAGCGCGACCCGCCGTGCAGCTTTTGACTCAAGCGCCGCTCGAGCCCGTACATGAACATGGTGGACCTACTCGTTGCCATGATCGGGCCAGAAAAGCCTGCACATTGAGATTTTTTCGTCTGGAGGGTAGATGTTAGGGGTTCGCGGTCAGGGTAACACCTTCCGGCATCGTCGTCGTACTCCTTCAACTGTAGACGGCTTCAGACTTCTAACCCTTGGCCATGACACGCTTGACTACTTGACACGGCTTAGCATTCGAAGGAGGTGCCGCCTGGGCTTTAGGAGTATGATCTGGCTGCCGCTTCACAGTAATTCGCCCGCCATGCTTTAAGGTAGCGAAATTGACAGCATGTCTGTGTGCAGGGAAGTAGCTTGGTCGCTTCTGGCCCCTTCCTTGCGGCGCAATGTTCGATTTCGATGAGTTGGAGGTCAAGTTCGAGGAGAGAGACTCGAAAACCAAGGCCTTTCAAGCCTTCGAGACTTGCTGCGTGGACAGCTGCAGTAAGCCCTAAACCCTAAACCCTACACCCTGAAACCCTCAGCCCTAAACCCTAAACCCTACACCCTGAACCCTAAAACCCTCAGCCTTAAAGCCTAAACCCCAACCCCTAAAGCCCGAGACCAGAACCCTGGAACCCAAAACTCTCAGGCCGCAGGGATCTAACCGTGCCCGTTGGGCGTCAAACCACCGAAGACCTACCTGTTTAAGGAGCTATATTAGAAACCATACTAAGGAACCCTAAAAACTTAGGTCTATTTGGCTCTGGTTCTTTCCAACAGCCAGAGGAAAAGCAACAGTGAGACAGGAAAGTTGCAAAGGGCTGCACGACCAAAGTGAGCTCAAACCCTTAACCCTAACCCAAACATCCGACCACCGGTCGATTCCTGTGAGGCGACGGCAGGAGCTGCCGAGCCCATCTCAAAGTGCCCCAGCTCTGCGAGTTTTGCTGTTTTTGGGGTACGGGGTTTGAGGGTTGTGTCGGGTTTGGGTTGGCTTGGGATCTATTTTTTGGTGTGCAGATCTGGGGGTTTGTGGAATTGTAGGGTGCCAGGCAAGCCTTAGACTTGGACTTACAAACCCTGAGCCTTAAAACCCCTAAGTTATAATCGCCTATGCTTCACATTCTCTCCGTTATAGCACCCTTATCATTATAGAAGCCGTGTGCTGCAACTTACAGCAGAGATGGTGCAAGCCCTTGTACAAACCCTTACATATCCATATATATATATATATATGTGTATATATACGTATATGGCGAGAGAGAGAGAGAGAGAGAGAGAGAAAGAGAGAGAGACCCTTACAACCTCGTATTCAAGAACCCCGTCAAGCCGTTCTAAATGCCCTTCCGCAAGCCCTTCAGCTCTTATTAGCACCCAGCCTTACTTACTCCCTGTAATCGACAAGCTTTATAAGCCTTTGTAAATGCCTATGAGTGCCTATAAACGCCCTTACTGCCTGGCTAACCTTGCAGCCTCAACCCTTGCCCCAAGCTCTGAGCCTTAAGCCCTCCGCCCTAAACCGCCCCATAAACTCTAAGTGCGTGAAGAAACCTAAATCGAAGTCGCCTGCCCAATCTGAAGTACTAGGACGCCCAGGTTCAACCCTCAAAATGCAGACGGGCCTACCACTCTGTTTCAATCAGAACAGCCTGTCGCGGGGCGTGTCATCCTGTGCTCTGGGGCTATGCAAGACCTTCAACTCGCGCACTAAAGTCGAAACCCCCAAACCCTGAACCCTAAAACCCTAAATCCTAAAGTCCGCATCCTGAACCCTCTCCCGTCTTGCGAGGTCTTCGGGCTATGTGGCCGCTCCGAGCCCAGCCCCGCCTATCGGATCGCGGAAGATTCGGGCAGGGGCCTCTGAGTTACAAAGGGTTGTGGGTTTAGGTTTTAGGGTTTAGGGAGGTTAGTTCTATAAGGGGGTAGGGTGTAGTTCGATCAGGGTTTTAATTGGGATGTGTAGGTTCTAGCAAGTGTAATACCTCAAGAGTTGGAATACGGTTTTGCGGTGTAGTATGTACAAATGCAACAAGAACCCTCAGGAATAAATGTAGGTTAAGGTTTAGGCGAGGCTTCATAAAGGGGCTTCATCAAGAAACCTACAAGGTATTTTTGTAATGTTCTTTTTGAAATACCCAAATTCGGAGAAGAGAGGTCCTGGCATGTTCAGGGTTGAGGGTTTGGGGTCTCGGGCTGTACCCTTTGACTTAGAGTCGGGCTATAGCGTGTGTCATTCGAGTATCTGCGGTTCGCTTCAGAATGCCGGGTCCTACTGCAGCTACGAACAGAAGTCAAGACCAGCAGGATGCCAGTGCTAGAAGTCGTACTATAGGGGCTGAAATGATTGCCTACATTATGTTAGGGGATTCGTTATTAGAAGTTAATCGTATAATACACCCCCCCAAACCTATTCTATTTATAAGGCCCCTATATTACTCGCTGCACTCGTGTCCAAATCTCATATCAACACAGCAATAATAGCAAAGGTACCAACGTCTGTTAATTCATTCGGTGTGCCGGTTGTACGAGTCACAAATTCGGCCATGTTTCCGGCTCTTGCCCTAAACCCTAAACCCTAAACCGTTAGACCCTCAATCGTGGCCTGCACTACGAACGGCCAACCGGGCAAGGTCCTGGCATTGCACGGCGGTGGCTCTAACACCAACATCATGCAGTACCAGGTGGAGTTAGGGTTTAGGGTTTAGGGTTTAGCGTGTGGACGTCAGGCTTGGGGCTTATGGAATGGTGGAGGCAGACTCTCGCGATGCTTTCTGGAGCTCGGGTGCGAAGTCAGAGGTAATTGTCCAGAATACAGGGGCCTCCAAGATTCGAATACGGCTTTGGGCAACTATCATTAAAGTCTCAGAACCCTAAGGAACAGCATGGCGATGTTTTCAGGCTTCTATACTATAACGGACTGGCAGCATACATCCTAGACCCCGTTGTCAGAATTTCAGCCTCCTAAACCCCAGCTCCGAATCTCTGACCCCTCACCCTCAAACCACCAGGAACCAAATCTCGCAAAACTGCAGGCCCCGAAAGGCTCACAGATGGTGATCACACAAGCCACTGTAGTTACTATACCCTGAAACCCCAAGGACCCCTCACTAAACTGTAGTCGTAGTATCCCTGATGGAACCCTATTTAAAGGAACCCTATTCTAACGATGAAGGTCCCCGTATGATGAAGCAGACGCTTCGGACCCTACTGAACCCTAGAGAACCCGAACCCCCAAACCCACAACCCCTGGACTCTAAATCCCTGAACCCCTAAACCCCGGAACCCCGGAATCTTTATGCCATCCTACCCTAAATCCTAAATCCGAAGCCTAAAGATGCGGAGGTGATGCCACTTCGAAGAATCCTTGGAGATCAGGCTCGCCCGGCTTTTGCAGGGGTCGCAAGAGCAACTACACCCACGGTTGCTTAAAGTTTATAGGTTTAGTTTTGTTTGCAAAGCCTGAACCCTATCTACCCGGGACAAAGGGAGTCTCAGACAAAGGTTGTGCGCCCCATTGTTGTGCTATCCAGGGTTCTGTATTTGGACCTCCCATTTTCCGGCACTCCCTTATGCAATCAGGTCGCACTGATTGTACTACCATGCAGCGCGAGAAGTTCCCCTGCAAATTCAGGAGGACAGCACAACCGAAACCCTAAGTTGTTTAGTCCTCAGTGCACCTCGGTGGATCGCTTCAGAGCATCTAGCCTTTTTGGACATCAAGCATCCCTACCTTCACCCTAAACCCTCGACGCCGTAGTTCAAAGCTCGGACGTGCACCAGGCCGAATGGGATTTCCTGAACGGAGGAAGAGATTGGCAGCAGAGAGCTTGGTCCGATGTAGGGATCGAAAAATCGAATGCCATAATTCCTTATGGATCGTCATTGATAGTTATTGGTGTGCTTGGTACCACGACATTAGTGGTATCATTGTTGTTGTTAACATTATGATTAAATTGAATTGTGTGGTTATTACCAAGCACAAGAATCATATTAGCAATAATGAGAAAATAGCAGTAACTTAATAGTAACATCTACTATTCTTATTGCTGTAACAGTTTTTGTTTTTTTGCTATTGTTGTTGTTATTGTGATTGGTATCATTTTGCCGCCAAGCAGTGCTCCCAGCATTAACGGCCCTAGCTTAGCGAGGTGCAAAAAATTCGGAAGCCGAAAGGAGTCTACAACTTAATCTTGGATTGGGGGGAGGTAGTCAGGCTTTTTATGAGTGTTTAAGAGGGAAGCTCACAAATTCGGGAGCCGAATATAGACCGGAAGCTAGGCCCTAAGCTCGAAACCCTAAAACCCCCTGCGCGAAGTTTCAGTGAGACCCGGAGTTGCAGGCACGATGAGGACAATGAGCTCGAAGTGTATGGAAAAGGAATATAGAAGCCCAAGTCCGAAATAATTGCCAATATTATTTTGGGGGTTCCTTGTTAGAAAATGCCTATAATGGAGCCCAGAAACCTATGCCAATGATCAAGGCCCCTATATTAGGGATAAAAGTCTCGGAGTCTTGAACAGGGATTTTGCGGTTGAGGCCGACTGCAATAGGTCAAGTAGCAGAGCTTCATAGCTTCTTCTGCCGAGTTGAAATGGTCAGTGCCCATGTTTTATTAAAATCTTCGGGGTTGGCGAGTTTCGATCCTGGTTGCACCCCTAAACCCTAAAGCCTAAACCCTAAACCCTAAACCTTAACGGGGAAGCGTTCAGGGAATCCCGTCTTCAAGGCCGAACCGCGTAACCTGAAGCCACGGCCTGAGAACCCTAAACCCAAAACCCCAAAAGCTCAGAGCCCTAAACCCCTAAGAACCCTAAAGCCCAAACCCGAAACCCGCAGCCCCATCATCATGCCCTGAGCTCCCCCTTGGAGTGCTGACGCAGGGGTTCTGAAACCTTTACCGAAGCAGCTTATGGTCCGGTCAGGGTCTAGGGTTTAGGGTTTAGTCAGGATTTGGTTCTGTTTTCATGATGCAGCTTTTCCAACCATGCAACTAGCCCCCGAACACAACGACAGAACCAAAAACAAGTCAGTCAGGAGTTTTCGGAAATTTGTCATGGCACACCGAATGTGCCTGTACCAGCCTTAGATTAAACTGACTCGAACCCCCAAAACCTGCATCCCTGAAGCCGTAAAACCTCAAACCCTAAACTGGACTAGCCATACAACCTAGACCCTAACACGCCAATTGAAAAGGAAAAACGAGCTGCACAGTTAGAGGCCCGAATCCCAACCCTGAAGCCTAGAAATCTCACGTGTTGAGTCTCAGGTTCAATGACGGTCATGGCGTTCCAGACATCATGAAGGCCCGTGGCACCAAGAAAGCAGACGCATAGTCGGGGCACATCAGGCTTGAGGATGGTGTCTCAATGTTGCATATGTCGTCATAATGCTTACGCTACGGCTTTTGTCCGATGAAGTGTACCTGGTAGAGTTTTGTTTCGACAAGGAAAGGCATCGGGTCGCGGCCGTAGTTTCTCCGAACATCAATGTGCTGGTTCTTCCACAACACACGACAATATACCGTTACCTACTATCATATACCATGACATGCCGCAGTATACCATCAGTTGTACCATGATATACCAGAATATACCATCGTATACTATAATATACTGTAGGAAACTTCAATGAGGAGGTTCGGTGTCGCAGTCCGAGGCCCTTGCAGCTGGCATGCCTTTCTTTGGCTGGTACGGTGTCAGGACCTCAGCTATCTTTGTTCCTTGAGTTCTGCGTTTAGGGTTCTTTACGGTTTAGGGTTTAGGGGTTTTAGACTCTGCAACCTTTCCATGAGCAGCCGGGAGTCCCTTTCGTGGGAAGCTCCTTCACCTTTCGAGGGATGGAACCTACGCGACTCTGGGTAGATGGCGTCCGTGGCCAGGCTGGAATGAGGAGAACGACAAGCAGCTGACACCATTTCCACTAGTAAAGTAAGATATTTGGAGTTGAAATTATCTACTGCAGCCTAGACAGTGCTGGTACTCAAGTATAGACTGTATAGATGCCTCACGCAGGACATCCATCGATGGCTCAATGATCTGCTCGTGGTAAACGGTTCCTGCTGGCTTGTTGCAAAAGCCTGCGCTTCCTGTCAGTTCCCTACAGCGATGTGTTGTTGCCGGAACACTCGTTGTGGGTCTGGTGCAAGTTAGATTTTTAAGTCAGTTTAGAGAGGCCTCTTGTGCCCGAGGGCTTCGGCTGAAGGGTGCGGGTCGGACCTTGAAGCAGTATACAGGCTCCAACGGCTTAGCCACCTGGGCCAAGTTGAGCGCTTATGTTGGAGACCGATAGCACAACCACAATCTAGCTACCGGCTTGCCATCCGGAACATTAGCTCAACTGGGCATGTTGAGCTACTGAGGTGAGGCACGCATTTGATTGAATGTGCATCATGTTTTGGCAGTTGAGCGGCGACTTGCATGCTCAAACTCATCTTACTTGCGAGCACTTGTTTGCATCTTACAAAACATCTGCAGAGGCATGAAGTTCATGGTCATGCACACACACACACACACATACCCTTGATCCGCGTCCGCTTTGTGGTCCTTTCACTGTCCCCCTGGATATGGCGGCAAGAACGAGATGCAGAGGTCCGTCCTGCATGTCCAGAGGGGTCAGTCAGACGTGGGGTGGACATGTAAAAGCAAGAGCTTGGAGAACAAGTCAGATCTGCCTTCTGCCGCCGTAGGTCCAAGCACCCCCGTCTCGGCAGCCCAGGCAAAGTAGGGACAACTCCCGAGCTGTAGGAGAGGATGATGAGCGACGAGTGTCCAGAAACAAAGGTTGCAGACGCCATCAGCAAAGCCGTGATCGACCACCGTGTTATCGCTCTTGTTGTGATGTCTACGATAGCGAGTCTCATGCTCGAGTTTGCCTACAAGTGTTCCAGTCGCCAACCTTTCTTTGAGAAGCTGAGTCAGAAGCGGAAGTGGGTCATCAACAGTCATCTCCAGAGAGCACCGCTTGCTCCACTCCTGCTTGTTGGCTATGTGCTTGCGATCTACATCTTGGCGACTGGGTGCAATGTCGCGTCCGCTTACATGCTGACGTCCGCGTTCCTGGCTGCTACCATGGACTTCCAAGAGTGGGTCCGCCACGCAGCCTTAATTGGAGGGGATGTTTCTGGTTCAGGGCAGTCGCTTTGGTCTAGGGGTGTTTGCCGTTTGAGTCCGTGAGGCTTTTGGCCCCGCGATCTTCCCTGGGAATACATTTGGCACCACATCGCTGTCATCGTCTTGGGCATCCAGTTTTGTGATCTCGGCTTGAAATCCACGTGGCAGTGGTGCATCTTCATGGCGAATATCGGCGTGCAATGGTGCACCAACTATGTCTCGAACTTGATTTTTCTCTCGCCAAGTGTCCGGGTGTGTAAGTGGGCTACCAGATGCCAGTTCCTCGTCATCCCCGCCAAGACGTGCAACGTCTGTATCATGTGCCACAAGATCAAGGAAGCAGCGGAGACGGGCACATGGGGAATTGCGGCCATGCTGACCGTAACGTGCTTGGGCTATACGTACATCTTCGTCAAGTCGGCCTCATTCTATCTCCGCTTTGATGCACAGAAGTACTTCAGCACCCACCAGGGAGTCTGGAACAGGAGCGCACCGTTGGCGGAGTCCGAAGAGTCCATAGAGTCTGGTGCCAAGTCTCAGGTTTGAAGTGCTCAGAGTTGAGGCACCTCTTGCTGCATGATGATGTTATCAGTGTTGCCGCGTGCCTCATTCACACCTGCTCCAGTGTGCGGCAACGCATTTGGTGGTGGGGCGTGCAGGCGGCGCGCATGTCTAGACATGTCTAGTGGACCACACGTGTCCTCGTCTTCCGAAGCGAGTTGTGGAAACCTGGCCAGTCCCAATGCTCGGAGGTCGACAAATTCACGCTGCCAAAGCTCGCAGCGTGGTGCCTATCGATAGTTCAAGTCGTGTGAATTCAGCAATGCACCTATGCGTCCTAAGCAGTGCCACCACAACTGCCGAGAAGATCCAAGCCCTCGGGCTTTTCAGTGGGCTTCTGTGAGTACACTGAGTCTCTCTAGAGGGTTTACATGAGGTTGCAATGCCTGTGGCAGTGAGGCCTGTTGGGCATGGTGTGATCGAACACCTCATGTTCTGATGCAAACGTTGCCAAATCCGCAGCTGCAACGAGGTGTTGCAGTACATGACATCTGCAACAATGCTGCGGCGGTGGGCAGCGCATCTTGCTCCCGGTGATGCTGCGTACCTTTCAGTGCGCGCGGAAAAGTGTCTGCATGCGCATACATAGCGCATGGTGTGCGGGCGGTTTGGTGTCAAAGGTTAAAAGAGTCTGGATCCAGGTTTTTTTGTTCGCCCGCCATGCATGAGACGTGACACAGTAAAGCCTCAGGGCCTGCATTCCCCGCCACCCTGAATCTCCCATGACAATCAGAAGCAGGGCTATAAGAAGGATCTACGTAAGGTGCAAGTTGTTGGGTGTGATTATTCACAAATAACTAGCTACATCCCCAAAAGGATCTCCCCAGATGTCAACAAGCACTTTGATTCTGCCTGCCAGGTGATCGTGCGAGCCCGGCAGGTTTGCTGCAAACCTCTCTGAATGAAGCGAGACTTTGAGAAAGGTAGTTCCCCGTAGGGTTTCAATTCTGCTTCTCCTAAGGTCCGAGGGTCTGGGGCCCACATTAGGAAGAAGCCTCCCACATGTCCAGGGTCCCATGAAGCATTTTACACCTGAGCTTGTTCCTTTCAAACTTTCAGGGCCGTGGCCAGGCTGGAACGAGGAGAAGCGGCTGACACCCTTTTCACTGACAAAGTAAGATATTTAGGGTGGTATCTTCTGCAACCCAGCCGGGGGTCGGTATTCCAGTATTCCAGTAGACATGCTTCACGCAGGACATCCATCGAGGGCTCAATGATGTGCTTGTGGAGAAATGCTCCTGCAGGCTTGTTGCAAAAGGCTGCGCCTGCTTAAGTGCCAAAAGTCATATGCCGCTGCCGGAACACTCACATTTTTCTCGATGTTTTTCGTAGGCTATGGTTGTTTTATACAGACCGGACAGAACTTCCATTTTGCAGAGACAGGGTTCCGAAGTTCCAAGTGCAATTTCGGTTTCTCTGGCACCAGAAGCGCTAGCCGCGCTCTCAAATTCCTGGGGTGGCTTTGCATAGGATCTGAGACCAGCTTCGTATGATGGTTCAGGGGAAACCTCTTTGACACTATTGGAGTCTGGCGTCCTGCGCAGTTGGCTGAAGTGGAGCAGAGAATCGTAGAGGGTAGTGACTTGCGTTCTGTGCCTAGCTCTTTGTCATTTTGATCTTGACCTCGCCCTGGCACCAGTTCACGACCGAAGCTTTGTGCAAGCTCGGTTTGTGGCTCCACTGTTCAGTTGCTGACGGTGTAACTTTTCGCTCAGGTCGAGAACGACGACAAGACGACTCGCACGTACGAGGCTGGCGGAGGGTTCAGGTGCCGGAGTCGACCACAGGGGCCTCACTGACAAAATTACCATTATTCTTAGGGTTCCCTGTGCTCTAGTCACAATATAGTATGCCTATTCGAAAAACCTAGTCTAAGTAGTAATTGCTGAAGCTTAGGGCTCTGACCCTAAAGCCATAAACCCTGGAACCCCAAAGCTAAACCCCTAAACCCAAAGCCCCAAAACCCCAAGGGTGAAAGATCTGGCTCTAGGATTGTGCTTTGGCGGCAGGCTCGGTGCTGGGCCCCTCCAGGGGGAAACCCTCAGAAGTCTTAATAATCCGCGCAACGCCGATCCAGCGCCCAGACTTCATTGGATAGAGAGTGTGAGTGGCAATAACGGGATCACAAATTACGTGGCAGGCGCGAGGGATTCGCTACTTGGAAACTATCATAGCTGTGTCTTGTAAACACACTCGTTTGCGTGACCAGAAGTTGAATTTCATCCACGCAACTTTTGACACGAAACTTCGCAGGTTTGTTGCCTTGGGCCGAAGATTGACTGGACACTTACCGTGAGACGACACGTCATTGTCAGCAGAAAACATGCATGTACACGACAACCCATTGTTACCGGTTGAAATGTGTTTGACCTGGTAAAAACGGGTTGTCGTGCACTTGTACTTGTTTTTTTCAGAGTGAAAGACCATCGCTTTTGTGGAAGTCACAGCTCTCACTTCGCTTGCCGCAGCCACAAAGGCGCAGTGTCTTGGAAGAAGTGTGCCGGGATAACTCCGCCGCTACGACCCCAACATCTGTACTGAGCAACACCAGCGGAAGAGAGGAACAGAACACATGCAACAAGAACCTCTCTCCATGAACGTCATCAGCCCCCCCTCCTCCCCCGCCTCCCGCCCTTCCCCCTCCCACGCTCCCAAGTGCGGAAGGGAGGAATTTGCCGAAGGCAAGGAGAACGTCTCTTCCCATGAACGTCATCAGCCCCCGCCCCATCCCCTCCCCCTTCCCTCCCTTCCCTCCTGCCTCCCCCGCTTCCCGACGGGTCTGGGCGCTGGACCGGCGCGGAGCCTAATAATTAGAATAGGGTTTTGGGGTATATTATACCATAACTCGAATAAGGAACACGCCAAAATAGTATAGGTAATTATTTAGGCCACTATATTAAGTCCGAGCGGCTCTTGGGGAACTGCCGCTTGAGAATCACAGCATGATTTGGATCGTCCTTCGAAGCACAGGAGGGTTTAGGGCTCAGGGCTTAGGGTTTAGGCTTTGCAGAGCCAGGGCACTAATCACTACATCACCAGGAATAAAGTTTCGTCGCACTTG